GAGACAAGGTCTCACTGTCACCCAGGTTAAAGTGCGTGGGGCGATCATAGCTCACCGTGGCCTTGACCTCCTGGGCTCAAGTGATCCTCTCGCCTCAGCCTCCCAAGTACCTGGGACTCTAGGCATGCACCACTTCGTCTGGATAATTTGTTTTTTTGTAGAGATGGGTCTCACTATGTTGCCTAGGCTATAGTAAAGCAGTTTGACCACTTTTATACTAAAAGCAGATCTATTATAGAGAATACGAAATTCACGTGAATTTTTAATATAAAAACTACAGACTTTGACAACCCCTTTGGGGCCCCTCCCACTGTGGGAGCCTTTCTGTCCTCTCAATAAATCCTGCTTTCAAAAAAAAAACACTACAAACTTCAAGGTGACTTCTTGTTTGTGAGCCCCACTTTGGACACTAAGCTATTTGCTGACCACTGAGCACCAACACTCAATCTTCTCTGTAATTAATCAGAGTTAGAAGAACACCATGAAGAGAAACAGCATCTATCTATCAAAGCATCTGGGACTTCACACCAGCAACCTGTTGGTGGCTGTCCCCCCTCCCAAGAGGGGTGTGAGGGCTCCCCCAACACTGATCAGAAAGTTGACAAGCATCTTATTTTTTTCCAAAGGTGTCTGTGCCCTGCTACAGCCAGTTGGGTTAGCTCAGCCTGGGGAAACAAAGAAACCATCACACAGAATTCTTCCTAGACATCCTCTCTTGGCCACAGTCTGCCAGCCTTTCTCATTCTGAGCATTATCCAATCATCGAGAAGAGCCCCAAACAGCTGCAGTGGCTCACACCTGTAATCCCTGCATTTTGGGAGGCCGAGGCAGAAGAACTGCTTGAGCCTAGGTGTCAGAGACCAGCCTGGGCAACATAGCAAGATCTCATCTCTACAAAAATCAAAAAATTAGCCAAGTATGGTGGCACATGCCTGTAGTCCTAGCTACTTGGGAGACCGAAACAGAAGGATCACCTGAGCCCAAATGGTGGAGGCTGAGGTGAGCTGGGAATGGGCCACTGCACTCCCATCAGTCATGGTGATAAAGTGAGACCATGACTCACAAAAAAGAAGAGCCCCGCCTCTACCACCAGTATCCTCAACCCCTTAAAGTGCAGGCCTCTGTTAGAGAATAGATTAAAAACACTTCCCATGGAAGGAAGTCAAGAAATAGGGCACATCTCTTGGGACGGCATGTCCCTTGTGATCCACAATACAAGGGTGGAAACTTTTTCTATTGTTGTAAAAACAATAACTACATGACAGAGACCCGGGAACATTTTTTTTCCCTATCAAGAGCCACTACTGACCACAGAAGAGGAGAGGGGGAAAAAATCCATGGGAGGCCACACAGAAGTAAAAAGCCATTTCAGTGGGTTCAATTCGTTTGCTTCTTGTTTGTTTTATGTTGTAAAATACACACATCCAAAAAGACTGAACTCAACTGATTTTAAATTAAGAACAGAGTACATAAAATTTTAACGACAATATATTAAAATACACTGAAGAGTCAGTCACAGTAAATGACATTGCTCATGGCCAGCTGTTGGCTTGAGCTGCAGACTTCAAAGTATGATCACCTTTCATTCTTGCCTTTGAATGGCTAACACTCTGGTCAACCACTGTTCACAGCTCTTTAATTGCTCATTGAAACATTCTGAGGCTCAGCTCAGGTCACAGGCCAGAAGCTCCCCGAAATGAGCCGCAATTCAGTACATCAGTCATCTGCAAGTCTCTCCTCTGAAATGGGAGCACATAAAACGCTATCTCAGAAAAACGTACAAAGCACCCATCAAAGTCACAGGAGAAAATGCTGTCTGCGTCAGAAAGAAATCCATGGAAAACTTTTTTTGGGTTTTGCATTTGGAAAAAAAACTGGAACTTCAGCAGAACTAGCTCCCAAACTAACCTCAGCATTGGCCCCATCACCACCAGCACACCTGACTCCCCACATGCTCCCATGACTGTAAGGGCCTCCCCCGCACTCTGAAATCTGAGGTTCAACAGGAGAGATCCCAAGGGGACTCCCACTGGGTCCCAGATCCAGGCTGGATTCTCAGGCCACCCGCAGCCACCCTAGCCCAAGCCAAGCCTCTCCTCCCTCCACCCCAAGGGCTGCAGAAGTGCTCTGCCATTTCACCGCCCACAGAACCCAGCTTGCAAGCTCCAGGCTTGGCTTTCTTCACCACAAGACCCATCCCCAACCTCCTATCTTCTCCCATCTGCCTCTCCAACCCCTCCTTTCTTTTGCTCCCATTTCCTCTGACTTTTCCCTACCCCACGTTAGGATCATGTCTCTCACAGGAGGAGGGGGTTTCACAGATGCATCTAGAACGCAGAGCCCAGAATCTGTCCACCAGCGTTCCCGGCCCAGCTCCACTTCTTGCTAGCTGTGTGACCTTGGACAAATGGCCAAGCCTCCCAACGCCTCAAATTCCTCAGTGAGGGAGGCCGAATCTGGCAGTCATGGGGTTCTCTTCCAACTCTAATGTTCTAGATAACTGTACGTTCTCCTGTGTAACCAACGCTCAAACAGCGAGTTAAACATCCACGGGGAGAGAGAATGAACTGGAGAAATTCCCTCTCCCTGGCAATCTGTCATCCCGCCCTCACCTTCCACAGACAATCACCCACTCTGGGGCCTGCGCCTCTCTCACTCTGGGCCATTCTAGCTCTGAATTATTTATAGACAGTACAACCTCAGGAAATCACACGGATCGAGAAGAAGGTGAATGGGAATCCAACAGAAGCCTGGGTCCTAGAATGCTTCTTTCATGCCACTGCTCAATGCTCTCAATTTCACATCAGTTTTAGCAAACAGAAAGGAATCCAAAAATGCCACCACAAGCTGCACCTGGGAACCTAAGAACAGGAATGCTGTCAGGAACCTGGAAAACCATCTGCACGAAAGTCCTCCACTTCACCAGCAAGGACACAGGCCCCGGGAGCGGAAGCCACCAGCCTAGAGCTCACAGCTCAGTGGCCAGGATCAAAGCCAGCTGCCCTGCCTCTGAAAAAGGCAGAGCGCCTCCACTGAAGCTTTTGAGACCACCCGTTCCTTTCTCATACAGACAGGTCAAACCCTAAATCACCAGCAAGCGCCGTATCCAGCAAATTGACCTCCCCGTCCAGGGAGGGGTCCCGAGATAAGTTCGGTTGACTAGATGACTATCAATGCTGCACAATAAAAGCTTTCTTTCCTGGGCCTACCCTTTCACTCTCCACAAAGAAAACCCCAGACTCTGCTATCTGTATTGAACTCTGTTTTGGAGATGGGGACAGAGGGGACAACTGAGCAGCGCTAAGTTCTGCCAGGAAGAAGCATTTGTTAGTCATTTTCTGTAACTCTGACCCACCCACTCCCACCCCTGCCCCAACAAGATGACCAGTCTCTTCAGAAAAGTTTACAGAAACTCTCCAACTACAACAGATGAAAGCAGGTAACAGGAGGAAAAGACCGGCAGGGTGAGAGCTGTATGGAAGGGACGATACCCTCCCATCTCTTCACAGGGCAGACAGCATTTCATTTCAGGTGCCAGTTCCCTGCAGGGAAGTCACCTCAGCTAGTGGTGGCAGGGACCCCGGGGGCCGAGAGATGTGCTCTCTGTAACACCTGGAGAACTAACCTTTCCTAGCCATCTGCTCCAACAATGCCCAAGGAAGAGGTGCCAAGAGACAAACCCTCCCCTCCCTTCCCCTCCGGCCAAGAGCAGGACACCAGAGCTTGGCTGTCGAGGGCCTATTTAAGCCAGCACCCAGAGGGTGGGGCAGAAAACCTTTGGCAGCGTCCTCCACCGCCACCCCTGCCCCTCACAACACAAACACACACACACACACACACACACACACACCTCGCTCTGTAGACAGCCCTCTACCTCATCTAAGTCTCTGAGGGCTGTAGAGATGATGGTGTCTCCAAATGTCCATCGTGCCGTCCTCGCCGCCGCTGACCCCCTGCTGCCCACCCGGCTTGAAATCCACCCCTCCTCTCTTCTGTCACCACCAAGCTTCCTTTCCAACCAGAAACACGGAATTGCATCTAAAGCCGAGGCGCTCAAGACACAAGGCGAGTGGAGACACACAATCCACGCCCGGCCTCCACTTAAAGGGAGCACGGGGGGCGGGGGGCGGGGGGCGGGGGGGGGGGAGATGGAGTCGGAGGCCTGACAGGCCAGACGGGTTCCATGATGGCTCTAGACAAACCTCCCCGCTATTGACGGTGAGAGCAATTCCAGCCATTTCAGCGGGTCGGCCCCGGGACAACGGGCCCATCCCAGCGCTCGGGGTTTTAAAACAAAAACCCAAAGGCACGGCTAGAACATGCCGGGGGAACCAGGGGGCCGCATGAAATGAGCCGCGCTCAGTGGGCTCCCTCCCGCTTTGATGTAGCCCTGCCAGAGCGTGATACATTCTGCCGGCCCCAGGAGAGCAGGCACCGGTGAATTTCAAGGCCGTCTTACGACAGCGGATGCTGGGGATGCAGAACCCGACCGCGCGTCCCCAGGAAAGGCTCAGAACGACCCCAAGCCTCCTTCCCCCTCGGTCTCGACCGGC